AAGTGAAGAAGTGGAATTTTAAAGACTGATACCAAAGAATTAAAAGCTAGTCATTGAACAAGAATCCAAAGCTCAAAGACATAAACCAAAACCAAAATCAAACCAAAAACCATTAAACGATTATAAGACAATAACCTAGAATTCAAAACCTTTAATTCAAAGATCTGTAACTATGGTTGAACATTTATTTCTTTCAAATTCTATGCAAAGTACTTTACATGAAGAGTTCATTTTTCACACCCCACTGAGATGGAAAACTTTGGTTCAGGGACATCCCTTCAAACCTGTCTGGGGCATTCTGATAAATCATTGGTAAAAGTGGGCTCTGAGCACAAAATGATTTGACACAAGTTCTGAATAACTAAAATGCCGGGTGGGGCACAACCTGAGAAGAAAGAGTTAAGCTGAGAACTTGCTATTTCTCCCAATTAGTAATGATCATATACATAAGGCTGAATTTTTCACCGACAAAGGTCCTAAATCTGTGGAGTAAAAAAGCTCATTATAAAACAGAAAAATAATTAATGAAAAGAAACTTACTCATTTTCTGAAAAAAAAAATACAAACTTTTCAACTTAATTGGTAAAGAATCCCGTATTGGGCAATAAATCTAAAGAGCCTATATTTATCCAGTATCAGCATTATTTTATTCAAATAAGTGTGACTCTAAACAGCAAAATTAATGAAAATGTTAACATCTCAACGAAAGTTACTTCAGTTATGCCAAAGAAAAGTTATTTTCCAGATTGACATGGAGACTTGTTGAGTGACAGGAGCTGCTTCATGAAGTGACCTACCGCCACCCTTCCTCACCCCCAGCTCTGAAATCTACTCTGCTCTCCCTCACAGCACTTTCTAGTCTTTATTTTCTTTACTCTGGAATTCTTTGTCTTAGATAACTACCAAGGTTACTTTGGTAGTGCTCAGTGTACATGCTACCCCATCCTCCACTACTCTGTTTCTGTATTAGCGAAGCTCTCTGGCAGACTTGAAGTTATCTTTGTTGCCTACAAATCCATCTGCACATGGCCTTGCCTGCCCATCAGAGCTCTCAGCAGCACATGTAACTTTTGGGATCAAGTCAATGGGTCATCAGTCTATACTGGCAGAATTCGAAACTAAGAGGAAGAGGGGGCTAGAGAAGTGGCTCAGTCGGTGAAGCACTTACCATGCAAGCATGAACCTGACTTTGAATCCCCTGCAACTTGTTCCAGAGGATTAAAATCTATGACCACGATAGCAGAGGACATGGCAGCTGGCAGAGAGGTGTGTTGGAGCAGTAGTTGAGTACTCACATCTGATCCACAAGCATGAGGCAGAGTGAGTGGGGAGAGATGGGAAGAATGCTGACTGGGAATGGGATAGGCTTTGGAAACCTCAAAACTCACCCTCCTCACACACACACCTTCTCCAACAAGACTATGCCTTCTAATCCTTCCCAAAGAGTTTCATCAACTGGGGACCAACTATAAAAACATAAGAGCCTATGGGGGCCATTCTCATTCAAACCACCACAACTGGTAAGCCTGGCTTATTCAACTGTAAAGAACTAAATGACTGTCTCAAACAGATAGAAGGCAAGGACCAATATTAGATCTACTGTGGCATATGTGTGCCTGTATACACACACACATACACACACACACAAACACACAAACACACACACACACACAAGATAAAAGGCAAAATAATCATTAAAATAAAGTGGTAAAGCAGATGTTCAGCAGATTACATCTGTGGTCCCAGATCTTGGGAAATGGAAGCAGGAGAATTAGTGTGAGTTTGTTGTTAACTTGAACTACATAGTAATCTATGTAGAACATTCCAAGCCAGTTGGAAATTCAGCATGGGATCATGTCTCAAAACAATGACAACAACAACATAACACACACACACAAACACCCACACACTCACTCACTAACTCACTCACTCATACTACATATTCAAGTACAACTAAGGTATTCATGTTGATTTAGCTAACATGAACAAATACTAATTTACCTTGAATACAAAATATGAATTTTTAATTTTTAAACAACTCATAGAAAAAAATGAAAATATTATATAACAACTATGCAAAATATCTTTTAAAATTTTTGTATAAAGTACAGACTAATAGAAAAATGGCAACATTTGGAAGATCTATATTATATAAGAAAAAATCTAGTATTCCTTATAGGTAGAGAGGAAAATGTGACCCAGGCACTAGAAAAATTAACAAGGAACCAATTTAGGCTACATCTCAAAAGAAGTCTAATGAGTAAATATTCAAACAGTGTCTCTAACAAGCAAATAAATTTAAATTAAAACAATACCTTCAAACTTTTGATTCTCAAATTTGCAAAAGTATAAAAAAACATGATAAAATATAGTGGTGGCTAAGATGAAATAAGATGTAAATTCTTATGGTCTGCTTGCTGGTAGAAGTACAACTTGTATAACCTTTGGGGAAATCTGTACAAATTTTTGGAAGTGGTAAGTAAGCCCCTGAAATCACTACTCATTTGTTAGAAAGTTTTACCAGATATTATGACTGTGTCCATAGAGTATAGACCCTGAGAGCTCCTGTTTATAGCACTTCACATGCCAAGTAGCATTTAATATGTTTACACAAGTGTGGTATTATTTTCTCTGGTTATCTTATGGGGTAAGTAGTTGTTTTTACTCTATTTAGCATGTATGAAATTTGAAGCATATAGAGTTGAATTAGTGTCTTCAACTTAAAACAGTTAAAAAGCAATCAGGGCCAGAATAGATCATGTAATATTAATATTCTTTTGGGTATATATTACTTTTCCATTTCATAGGTTAAGGAGAACATGAAAGAAGGATCCAGAAGGTAAGTTAAAGTTCCTTCATTAATTACTTTTCTTGCTGCTTAAAAAAAAGGGCCGATAAAAGCAACCATGAAACAGGGTTTATTTTTGTCTCATGGTTTGAACAGATACAGTGCATCATAGCAGGGAAGGCATGGTGGTGGGAGCATGGGGTATGTGGACACCCTGTGTTCTCAGTGAGAAAGTAGGCAGGTGTGAATGCTGGTGCTCATCTGGTTTCTTCTCATTCCTTCTGCACTCCAAGCCACTGGGACAGAGTCACCTACTTTCAGTGTGGATATTTCATCCTCCATCAACCCTCTCTGGGAAGACCCTCAGAGACACCTAGCCCTGCAGAACAGACTCATACTTGTGGTAGCAAATGAGCCGTGGAAAGTCTACAGAAGATATTCAGCAGTTTGGCTTTATCAGTAGGTCAACATGGATGAGTTTAACAAACACTTTGAGAAGATGATTGACACATGTAGATATGTGGAGGGAAGGAGAAGATTAGAAGGTGAAGATAGTGCTCAAGGGAAGGACAGACAGAACTGCTCATATGCTTACTGGTAAGAAAGTTAACGAGATCCTGCAAGGTGGACTCGACTTCCATTGTGGTATCTAGTGTGTCTAAACTATGAAGACAACAATAAGAGGGATTTATGGATGTAGAGGGGACATTCACACTTGGATAGTTTAGAAAAAATAGATTACAAAGCGATTATGGAAATGGGGCGGGACACATGTTGCATGAGAACTGCCATGACAAACTGCTGGACCAACCACTTCCATATTGCCTAGTCAATTGTGCAATATGGAAACAGTCAGCTAGGGACTTAGTCAGGTTGAGTTTCCATCAGGGAGTATTAGAGAGAAGGATGTGGAGAACATAACATTTTATATAAAATTTGGCTGTGGGCTGATGAACTGGCTCAGCAGGAAAGGAGCTTGCCACCAAGCCTGATGACCTGAGCTCAATCTCTGGGACCCACGTTGCAGAATGAGAGAATGAACCTCTCAACCTGTTCTTGATGTCAGCATATGCACTGTGTCCTGTGTGCTCATACAAGTGCATCCACAGTAAACAAGTGTGATTAAAAAATAAATAAAATTCAGCAATGTGTACATATTTGTATGACACATAAAACTTCTAAAGATAGGAATGAAGGCTTGCGGTTGTGCAATAAATATATTGGAAAGAGAAAAGAGATCAAGGAGATGCTTATGTCTACCGACGATTCCACTTACAGATATTTTGCTATAGAGGAGAGTTTTTCCTCTTGAGGACAAAGGCTTCTACTTGGCTTTCTAGTTGAATCTGCGGCAGCATTTTCTAAAGCTGAAATTGCTGTTCCTACACACATGGATTCTGGTCTGAGATGTGTCAGTGAGGTATGGGCATATTCTCTTGTAATCATTCTTCATGGCCAGCTGCACTGTGAAAAATTGATTCCCTGATTTGCCAGTCAAATGGCTGGGGCTATAACCCCCTTCCACCTTGAGATAATTAGGTTTAATCAGCAATTTTACAATAAATAATGATTCTGTGAACTTGGGCTAGTCCCAAAGAGTAAAGTTTTCATGGTAAAATATGCAAAGTGGTCATATACACTTTTGTGCATATATATATATATATATATATATATATATATATATATATATATGGCTTGCATTTGTATGTATAGATATGTATATGATCTTAAAAAAGATGTTTATGTAATATTCAAAGGCTATGAATCCTATAACCTAGTCCTTAGAAGAAGGGGAGAAGATGAACCTCAGAATGCATCTATATTCACTGGAATCTGTGCTTTGCAGAATTACCCTTTTTATCCCAGGCATATAGATACAAGATTCTATCACATTGACTTTCTTATTTGGTTAGTGGGAATTGTGCACGTGTGTGTGCATGTGTGTGTGTGTGTGCGCGCGCGCGCTAACTTGTTTTGAAACAGGATACTGCTATGCAATGTAACCCGAGCTGGCCTTGTACTCACTATTCTTCTACCTTAGCTTCCCACCCTTGTGCCTACATGTGTGTGCCATCATGGTCTGCCTTGTTCTGTTGTTTTCCACTGGGCCAAACACACATGTCCAAGGTATTTGGGAGAGTAAAACGGTGGAGAATATTCTGTTATCCAAAACCAAAACTACAAAAATCCAAAAGGAAACTGCAAAACGGACTCTAAGGCATCTCCTTTACCTGAGCGGTTGTTGGTGTCATTAAGCTCAGTGCTGGCAGAGGGTATGCGGGGCTGGGATCTGTCCTCATTGTAGGCTTTCAGAACATACTTCTCCAGGACACCATTAACCACAGCGGGTTCATCCCAGGCCACCTCAACGCTGGATCCATTTATGCTCTGGGCTCTTGAGGGAGTTGGCACACTCTGTGGAGCTGAGAAAGAATAAAAGAGAGAGGGAGAGCGAGCGCCAGTCTGAGGGGATGACTGTCCCTATTCTTCACTTTTAATGGCAGCCGTAAATCAGACTCGACCATTAGCATAAATACAATTTATTAGAGTTGTAACTTTTCAGCATTGATTTAATATGACTGCACATCTTGAGCCATTCAGTTTAAGCTATATTTCAAAACCATCAAAACTCCATCGACAGAACATCCTTTTTAGTTGAGACCAGGTTTCCCCCAAAACATTGACTGTATCCGGTGTGTTTAAGCAACACTCATCAGGAAGGAGGCGCATGGTCGGCAGGTAACAGGGTGAAGCAGTAGAATGATTTGCCGCTTTGGAGCAAGGTAATTAGGCTGTTATTATACACAAGGAGCTGACACTTTTATGCCTTTCAGGTAGCAAAAAAAAAAAAGATGGAAAATCACACATGTGATTATATGTGGTCCTGGAAAGGCTATTCCCACTTTCCAAATTCAATTGTTATTTTTAAAAATAGTTTTCAAAAAGCAAAGGTCCGGCAGGTGTGATATATAGCACAGAGTTTTAATTGCATTTGGGAGGTAAAAGAAGTCAGTACCCTGGATAGACTTCAAAATCAGTTTTGGAGGCATTCTCTTCAGAACATCTCAGAGCGAAGCAAGAACACTTATAGAAACTATAGAAGACCTCGCAAGCTGACCGCTGATTTAAAAAATCCATAACCTTTAACTATTTGTTAGATATTTACACAGCTCTGATCAGTAACAATTTCATCACAGCTGACTGCACAGGGGACACAAAGAAAGAGCCCATGGAGCTGTGTGACAGCAAGATGAACGAGAGCGAGGCTCTAACTGCTCCTGGGCTTCTGAGCCCTGTCAATGGACGACGGGAGACAGTCAGGTTCCCCACATCACACAGTCTCCTCCCTGACTTTACTGTTCAGACCAACACAACACAACAACTTTAAGGGAAGCAAAGTAGACATTAAGGGTGAGAGGAGGCACAGTGAGCAGTTCTCTCTGCGTTTAAAACACTACAGGCCTCTATAGAAAACAGTGCACACAACCAAATTGCCAGGAAAGAGACAAGGGGGGAGAGGCTGATTTTATTAGTAGTGAAATGTGGTACAGGGCAAAGATGGTACTGTCTACCAGATGGTCTTCTCATAAGGGACGGAGCAAGACCGACTCAAAAAATAATTAAATAGTGCAATCATCCTCCAGCCCACGGGAGCTGCTTGGTGCTGTGGTCAGATTGCAAATGTGAATCTGTGACACAGGACGTGTGGTCAGATCACGGCTGTACCTTCAGAACTCCATAGTGGGGTCACGTTGGGGAGTTAGCTAACAATGGATTTTCTAGACACCCACTAAATTGCTGAAAAGCAGACTTTTGTAGCGTATTTGCTAAGAACATAGTGCATTGTGAAACAGAGATAGAAACATGTCAGTTACCAATGGCTATTTTATCCTGAGTCTTCTACCCACTCTGAGATTGAGGAGGGTCTTGAGAGAATGTTCATCTCAATGTCTTGTCTATACGTAGATAATTATTTTAGTTATCTTAGAAGATTCTTCCATCATCCTCTCTGGAAAATCTATAGGCAGCAAGTCTTGAAAGTTATTGTTAGTGATTGAACTGGCTGGTTTTGTGTAACAACTTGACACAAGCTGGAGTTATCACAGAGAAAGAAACCTCTCTTGAGGAAATGCCTCCATGAGATCCAGCTGTAAGGCATTTTCTCAATTAATAATCAAGGGTGGGAGGACCCCTTGTAGGTGGTGCCATCCCTGGGATGGTAGTTCTGGGTTTTATAAGAAAGCAAGCTGAGCAAGCCAGGGGAAGCAAGCCAGTAAGCAGCATCCTTTCATGGCCTCTGTATCAGCTCCTGCATCCAACTTCCTGCCCTATATGAGTTCCTGTCCTGACTTCCTTTGGTGATGAACAGCAATGTGGAAGTGTAAGCTGAGTAAACCCTTTCCTCCCCAACTTGCTTTTTGGTCATGATGAGGGAATACAAACCTTGACTAAGACAGTGACCTATCTCAGGATTTTACATCCTTAAAATGAAGGTGCCTGGGCTAGTAACCAATTATTGAGAAATATGAAAGAATAGCATGGTGAAAAACATGTTTGGGGACAATTTTTTATGGCAGGAGAAACTGTCTTCAGAGACACTACCACTAATGTGCTAGAGTTTCTGACCGTTATTTTATTGTATTGGTGGAAAACTCCTGATTCATCAAACACTTTGTGATCAATAGCTCCCAGTCATGCCACCCTAAGAAAGATTGAGCTGTCACAGTCAGAAGAGACAAACACCCACCAGCTGCTCAGGGGTCTAAAATCTGGTCTAATGTGTCTTCTCATTGTTTCTCTTCTTATTTGAAAACTTTAAATTATTTGAAGCTTTTGCTCTTGAGAGTCACTCTCCCAGGTCACCAACATGACAGATGTCTCCTAGGACATGATAAAGAGATGTCCCTGATTCTAGAGTGCACTCTCCGTGACACTGAAGAGCTTACCATCTTGTCTAATGGTACTCTCGTGTCTTTCTTCTACCTTTTGTGATACAGGTGATTGGTAGATGTTTCCCACTCTGAAACAGCATGGGAGCACCTGTTAAATCTGTAAATCCCTAAATTCCCTTTCTCTGAGTCTAAAGAGGAAAGAAAAAAGCCCTAGCAAGATGCAGTTAACTCTTACAAACTCAAATGCAGTGATCTGTATTTTTCCACAGCCATTTTCAAACCAACCTGGTGCTGCTTCAGGGCCTAGGTTTTATGTGCACAGACATCCACATAGTTATGTTTGCAAATCAGCAGACTTTACCTGTGCCCAATGTGCATCCCCGAATCCAATCACTCGTTATGGAACCTCCTTCGTGTGAGGCTGTGACCCGATACAGGTATTCTTAAAGGGAAATAAGAAATAGAGAGTTTAAAACCAGCTTCCTCCAGACTTGCAGTGGGCTTTCAGCAAGGGAAAAGAAAGCAGATGGCAGACCTGTAGCATTTAATTTAGAGTCCACCACATTACCTGTAAGGGGTTGGAGACCGCTCTCGTAAACACTCTGCTGGCTTCCCCGATAAACCAGGATGGAGTCATTTCCCCCACAGTTAACAGTACTGTCACTTGATAGGCATCCATCCTGATTGACTCTGACAGCACGGCTGGACACAGATGCCAAGTTAACGACAATACCCCGTGTAAATGCAACTTCCTTCACGCAGCCACGGAACCCTAGCAAACAGAAAGGGATTCGTGTCACAGAAAGGGCTTGGGTCATTAATGACCAACTGTTTTTGTACTCTGAAGTTTTTTACCTCTTGTGGGAGGGTTTAGTTAGGGACAATGATTAAAGTCTTGTTCTAGAAATCTTTATGGTACTTGCTTTTCATCTGGTTAAATAGTTGCAGAGATGTATTTATAGATACCATTTTGAAAAGCTGCATATGCATAGATAATTACAATCCCACTTTGGCACATGAACAGGATTTCTTTTGCTTATGTAGGCCTACATGTTCTAAATTCTTTGAGCTGTAAAGTAAAATTTAAGCTTTCATACAAGATAGACAGGAGTCTCCATGTGCCTAGTCAGTGTAGGATAATTATTAGCAGGAGTAAGTGGTAAGGGTTGAAAAAATCATCTCTGGATTTGTACGATTTGAACAAGATAGGCTATGAAATGTTTATGTAGGACAGCAGTAAAGAAACCATTGCTTTTCATGTAATGGGGCCCCCAGACACAGACATAAGCTGTATAACAATCATTTCATAGGTATGGAATATGTCCCAGTGAAACCAGCAGGAAAAGACAAGAGTCCTGTGCTCTGCCATTTTCTCTGTACTCTGTCATCTTGAATATACACCTTGAATGAGCACTGGGTTCACACTCAAATTAACAAAGATCTTCAGTCAGTGTCAGCAACGTTAACCACATAGACTTCACGGAATGTGCATCTCACATGTCAAGCTGGAAACACTGGCTGCCATTGCCGGTACATGTGAACCAGTGGATTTGTAGATTTCAATGTGTTTGCTAGAGAACAAACATAAACAAATAGCTGCTCAGCCAAGGAATCACTGTTTCCTTGAACATGCGTTGACAGAGGCTATGACTGTAAAGTCTGGCCAGAAGATGCCCAGAAATAGGCCCCAAATTCAGATGGAAGAGGACTGTAATCACAATTTCTCCAAAGACACTCACCTTTCTGCTCAAGACAATGTCAAGTTTGAAAAGTCTGGGCCCACTGTGAGTGCTCTTAAAGATTAAAATGGTCAAATTGTTCTCTTCAGTGTTTAGCTGATATCTTATTATTTCTTCTATGGTGTTAAGCTGCAGTCTACTTCCTTTTAAATGCCTTTGGCTATTATTCCAATTCCTTCAGGCCTGACTGATCAATACTGCGAGCCTATCTTCAATACTTGGTAGACATGATAGGTGTTGGTTGAATTGAGTTGGAGGCAGTGAGGCTTGGTATAAGATGTATTTGCTGGAAATTTCAGAACCGAGAAATTCTGTTGTTAATAGCAGCCATTTTCTGATGATACGTATGAGGATCAGCTCACATCTCCGCACCCTATTTTCTATCCCCATAAAAAGAGGACAAACGACAGGCAGCTTTCACAATGTGGCTATGCTGTTCTAAGGAATTCCACATGCTTCTGGAGCTTCAGGTTGTCAAGACAGGGTTTTGGAGATGGGCAGGGATGAATACACACCACTGTTTGTACATGGTACCACTGAAAGGTCTACTTAAAATGGCAACAAAGCCTCTGGGGGATGATCCAGATCAAACAAGTGCTTGTTATGCAGTTGTGAGAAACTGATATCTATTGGAAACCAAATAAAAATGATGAGCAATCACCAGAGCTTGATGGGAAACCTATTGCTGAAGACTTTGATCACAGCACATGGCGCAATCAAGACGCCACTGGCCAGGTAGCTTCCTCCTGCTGGTTAGCTCTCATGGTACTGACAGGTGATCTGCAGGTTGCTAGGGGATAAAAATCACACACAGCATCACTAAAGCTACAGGAAGGATGTGCTGATGGGTACAGAATTCACATGAATGTTATGGTAGGATCCAATTCTTTTATTATTGAATTTCTAACTGATTTCTTATTGGATTCTTTATATTTTAGATTGGAGGCCAGCTTCAGAGAAGGAAAGGCATGCGTAGTACCATAAGTCTGACCAAGAACCCATGGCTGGGGAGCTTAAAGGCCCCAAGGATGAATCTACTACTATTATTTTGCTAAAACAATATTTAGTATCAAACTGCCCTCTAAATGTATAGCCCTGTGCCCATAGGTTAGTGTAGCTCAGAGATCCTCAGAGAAACTTCTTTGTGCAATGATTAGTGTAGGAACTCACAACTGGTCAAGGTACAGAGAAAAATGGCTATGAAGGCTCACCCTTTATAGCATACTCTTTACTCAAGGTTCAGGGAACACTACAGAAGAGACGGTAGGAGGATTATAAGAGCCAGAGGTCAGGGATGACTGTAGCAAAACAATGTCTTCTGGACAGCACAGGATCAGTGTATACATGAGCTCTAGCAGAAGACCTGTTTGCCTGCAGAAGACCTGAGCAAGATCAAGCTGGTGTACATTCCAACAAGGAGTAAGGAGGGGCTCCCATGCCTCCACCATTAGTTGAGCAGCTATTGACTATTGATGGCCAATAGTGGGTGGAAAGTCAGTTTCCCTTAGTGGTATAATGCTTGGTAGGTTGAGTGTTCTCCAGTAAAGACCTTCACCCATCCCTGTACATGGTACATGAAATGGACTTAGTGAGTTATTGAAAAAAAAAAAAAGATGTCAAGAAACTAAAATGTAGAGAATGGATTCCAAAAGTTCTAGAAGACAAGGGTTGGCGTAAAAATGATCCAAATAAATTGTATAGATACATAAATGTCATTCAGACTGAATGTTATATTAGAAGGCTTTACAAAAGTTCTGGGCATTTTTGTTAGTGCTTGGAATCCCAGTGTTTGGGAGGAGGAGACAACAGATCCCTAGAATTTTCTAACTAATAAATCTAGCCAACCAGAGAGACTCAGATAAGTGAAGAATCCTGATTTCACAATAAATGAATAAATACATAAATATGTGGACAGAATCCAGTGAACAACAAACGTAGACTTCTGGTCTCCATATGCAAAGGCATACTTACTCACATGAAGACAAAATGTGAATGTATATGCACATGTATATACATACACAACAAAAACTGGTTAGAAGTTTCGTATTTGTCATGTTTCCCTACAATTTTCAAAAGATAAACATCTAATGACGTGGAGATTAAAGTCAGGAAAAGCACAGGAATGGTAACTACCTTTAAATTTGTACACAGAGGGTGTCCAGAGAGGCAAGAAGTGGGTTTTCAGGCACAACTGCTGAAACAAAGACTCCTGGGGCCCTAACCTGGCAGGAAAGCCACTGAGCTCACCTGCAGGGTCCTGCTGTGGTTTCCTTCACTCGGAACAGACTCCTCGGACAGGGTGACTCCATTATTTCAACACCATGCCAGCAAGCCCTCCCTAAGACACTTCAGAACTTGGATGAACATGATAATAAAAAGCTGGGAAAGGAATTGCTTTTGACAGGAGACTCTTCATTTTCTGCCTTTGTACAAAACAACAGAAGTTCCTGTACCCTTCTTCCTTTCCCCAGCGCCAAATGTCTCAGTATCTAGATCCCCAAGTGTCTATATGGAAGGATCAGAAAGGCAGCAGTGGGCTATGTGCTTTGAGAGGCAGGCAGGATGGGTTCTAGCTTGCCCCTTCCCTGCCTTACAGGGGTTTTAGACAGAGTACACATTATAGTATTATGTGCCTTGGGCCTGAATGTGTTTGTTGTGCTATTTCCAAGAAGAACTTCCACAATTCTGTGAGGTGTTACAAGTTTAGCAAACTAAGTTGCCCAGAACTTTCAAAACAGAGAGGAAAATTAATTTTACGTTTGATTTGAAGAACAATTACATTAATGGTTAGAGGAAAAAAATAGCGTGAATATAACCACAAAATGGAGTCTGGAAAAAAGAGTCTCTAATTAGGATGTGTGGAAAGGACAGGGTAAAAAATAAAAAGACTATTGTGAGTACTGAGAGAGATATACTAAGCAAACATGAATCATTATGATTACATGTCCCTGCCTGTAGGCTTTCCATCTCTTTGGTGGATATTCCCTCAGGTGAGTATATATCCAGATAAAATAGATCACCATGTCTCAAAGTATCTGAGTCAGAATCTTAAAGTTTGGGGTGGATGGGGGGAATCTCAAACCTGGATTTTTATCAGCATTTCACCCTATTCTTGTAAACCTAGAAAGATGATGATGATGATAATGATGACGACAATGATGAAAAAAGCTAATTTCGATTTCTTACTATCTTCAAGAATTATTATGCTTAAAGACTTCAATAAAACCAGTGACATGGATAAAACCTTCCCCCCACACACAAATCTTAGTCTATGTGTAAATAAAACGTGCATTGGTATCACAGACTTACACCTAATATAGGTAAAATTGCTCCCCTTTGGTCTGTGTCGATGCTTTACATTTTTCTCAGCATCAGTTCAGCATCCTGTTTCATAACAGGGTCAGGGATGATTCTCTAGTCTAAGCCTGGATAAGGAGTTTGTTTTATCCAACACTGCCCAGCCCCACATAAACAGGATGGAGTACTCTCACTTACAGAGATTTTCCAGATTCCCTCTGATACCTGAAAGCCTGAAAATCTAGGGACGATCTTGTAGGAATGCAATATTTTTAGCAGCTGCTACATCTTAAGTGCCTTGAAAATGTCATTACTGTCTCAGATCCTGGTTATTCATTAACTCCTTACTGCTACTCTGTTCAGAGTGTCCTTACAGTGCCCCATATATTCTCAATCCAAAGTCATTTAAATCTTTATGTACTTACCAAATAGGCAAAGACTGCTTCATGGAAATTTTAACCATTCACAGTGCATAGATTTAAAAATGCACAGAGAACCTTCTCTTTATGAGAGCATGTTTGGTTACACTTTGTAAAGTTCTGTGTTGTCCCTAAGTCACAGAGATGAGGCAATGGCAAATGCCAATCAAAAGAATATTTCACTATAAGGAGGCCAAACTGTGGCACCAGGTTGTCCACTATGGATTCTTGTATCTGTGTTCTAACCATGTGATCTCCTGCAGATGCTTTCTTATCTATCCTCATCTGTCTGGTGGGGTCATGAATTGCCATGGCTCACTCAGTGGCTCCTTGTGAAGAACTTCCTTTGTTCTCATGAGAAGTGCTCAGGGGACTTACACTCAGATGCTGTTAGCCATGTTCCTTTGGTTTTTGAGTCAGGGGGTCTCACTATATAGCCCAGGAGGCCTCCAAACTTGTCATCCTCCTGCCCTAGCCTCTCAAATGCCAACATGACCAACTGCCTTTTAAAATACTTTTTTTCTAGTTAAATACAAACATACATGAGTTAAAGGATGGGTTAGGTGTTTAACTGCCTTCCCATTTCTTATGATTATTTGTAAAACTGTCTAATTTTTCCAAAAATATATTTGAAATTCTACTAAACTCAGTGCTTCATGTGCTTTCTCTGCTGGAAAGTTCTATTGAAGAGCTATGGTGGCAAGGAACTCTGATGTCAGAAGCTGAAATGCATGAAATTAATGGCAGCGTTTTCCTAGTTGTTCATTCACATCTATACAAACTTCTATATTTTACCTTCATATATAGGTAACGATCAATATTTTAAAAATCCCAAACCACAAAGAAACTATGCACTTAATATATATAATATTAGTTTATTGTGGGACGCTTTTATTTGCTGAAGACATATTGGAATAAGTACGCTGAATTTAAGGAGTGTGATCAGACACTCTTAGGAACAACATGGAGAACTGTCTAAGGCTGTTTGAGAGGTCAAGAGTACTGGCTGCTCTTGCAAACGACCTGGGTTCCATTTCCAGCAGTCACACGGTGTCTCTAACCTTCTCTAAGCCCAGTTCCAGTGGGTCTGATGCCCTCTTCTGGACTCTGAGGGCACTGCATTACACATACACAGGCTTAGGCAAGACAAAAACATAAAATAAAAATGAAGAAACAAAATTTTAAGACTTACAAAAAACCCTATAAAAATACATTAAAAATCTGTTTGGAGAAATATCCAGAGAGTGTTTTTTTTTTTTGAGCTTAAAGGTCTATAAGAAAAGGGAAGGCACATTAGTGGGGATTGTTTTAGTGTAAGTCTACTGCCATATTGGAAAGAGCACAACCAAAGCCTGGTGGAACAGCGATGTCCAATGGTGTGTGCATCTGAAGGGAACTTACCTTGCTCCAGAGTCAAATGTGCGTAGGAGTCCTGCAACTCCTGTGGGATCCCGCCCAGATAGACAGGTGAATTCACCAGCAGAGGCTGGCCTCCAGCCTGTGAGGTGTTCTTTGTAAGTTCATTCACACCAACTGACACCGTAGAGCCTTCCTTTTTGATACGGATTGTGTTCCACTTTCTATCACAATAGGCCAGTCCCAGGCTGAGATCCACTTGTGTCAAGATAAGGCTGGAATTTAACCTGAAGCTCAGCAGGCCACTCTTCAGCTCCATCTGTATTTCATATTCAAAACAAGCAAAGAGGCACGTCAAGAAGCTACAGGGCAGCAGCTTCAACAAGAACAGAAGGTCAGTTTCCTGAAGGAAAGCAAGACACAATAAGCTGTCTCTTATCCTAAGCAGAGCTGAAGTAATGGGTAATGAAATACACTGCAAGCTTACAATCGCCATGAAGAATGCTGTATTCAGTCAAACAAATTCCAACCCAGTAATGATTATTCTACACAGTGTGATATTATGGAGACACCAGCTTCTTCTGTAACATAGTTAACAGATTAAATCCTACTATAAATGACTGGCAAAGTGGAGAACAGAACACTATGAACTATGACTCCGTTTTTTGAGTTCTCAGAAATGAGAAAATATGCCTGCATGTATCAATTTAATTTGGGAGAAAATTTGACAGGACAATAAGAAAATGAAATGTCAGGCTTGATGAAGCTTGTTTTAAATGGTTAGTGAACTCAATTTCAAATTTGTAAGATATATTTTGATTCGATGTGTTTCAGTTTTATTCTGAGTCTCTCCCATAATTGCCTCTGTGTGTATTCTTTTAGATTAATGCACCATTTCCTAATGTCAGCATATTTTACCCAAATTTTCAGTGTAAGGGGAAAGCATTCATATTTTCTCTCATGATAATTATTTTACCAGCCATTTTTTAAAATTTTGTTTTAGGTGTGAAATCAGCTAGCATACTAGTTGAAAGTTTGAGAATAGCATGTTAAATAAAATAAATTAATCCTTGTAGGGAAAAGAATAGGTCTTCTATGTAGATATCTTCACGATACATCCCCAACAAGCAGGCATCACCCTTCATTCAATAAGCACCAAGATCATCAGCTCCCTAAAATCTCCCTGATAGCAAAGGTGCATCTTGGAGCACTCTTGTAGCCAAGAGAGTGATGAGATGCCCCATAAGAAGACGAGCCACTCGCTCCCTGGGAATCAAGAAAGATTTAGAGGAGCTGGGGCAAAGCTCTAGAGGCAAAGGTTGAACCACTTGCCAAGCAAGCTTAAGAATCCCTCACCAGGTGGAATGTGGCCTTCTGTAATTCTGTAATAAGAGCACTGGGGAGACAAAGACAGTGGCTTCTTGGAATAAGCTGGATGAATCAACTGCCTGGATTAACAAGCTCTGGGGGTCATCGAGAGACCCTGCCTCAATGAATACAGTGGAGAGTATATCCAGAAAGAAGTTAAAGATCAAATTTGGAACTCCATGTGCACACATACTCATGTACGTTTATACAAGTGCACTCACATATGTGCACACACACACACACACACACACACACACAGAGAGAGAGAGAGAGAGAGAGAGAGAGAGAGAGAGAGAGAGAGAGAGAGACCCACAAGCACTCATTCATACTTGACTGCATCACACTCCTGAAGTGGAAATTTCTGGTTTTGTTGAAAACTTGTTTGTGCCATGTGATGTTTTTCTGGAAGCTGTATGATGAGAGGACGTTCTGCTGGATAAGATACTCGGTGCTTTTCTAGAAGCTGTCTTGTGAAAGGGCATGTGTTGTTTTGCTGGAACGGACACTTGAGAGGGATACAAATATAACACCACAGTCAGTGATTGATGATGCTCTTGCACTGGTTCATCTTGCAACACCTTGCAAGTCTTCACTGAACTTTGCTTGCTGTGACTTCATAGAGAGAAATGTGCCAGAGAATTTCTCAAGGTATTCTGGCTGCTTCTTTGCTGCTTCTTTGGACTCATGCCAATTTGGAGAGTCTTGTGGTTTCTTCTGAATCGAGATTCTTGTGGCCCCTACTGGTTCCTGTTTGATGTTTTACAACGGACTGCTGATATCCTGACAATCAAGACTGAAATTGCCTCAAACTTCTTACTTCTAGACAGGTCCACAACACTCTTTTCCTATCAACCTTTCTTTTCCGCTACCTCTGGTAGAAGGGAGGTTGAAGCATTTAAGAGCCCTAATTAAAGTGTGTTTTGAAAAATCTAAGCCCATCTCCCCACTTATGCACACACATGCACACAAACCACATAAGATTTAGGGTAATGTAAGATGCATGGATGGTCCTTCTAGCAGGATGGAAGACCTGTGCAGTCAGAGGACATTGGGTTTAAAGAAAGGTAACAAATTAGGTAAGACACAGGAGGGACTGGAGTGTCAGACTGTGAGATAGAGCCTTGCTCAATATGCAGTGGTAGATTATAGATAACTTGGGGTGAGATGAAAAAATTCACCTCTTGTCTGACACCAAAAACAATTTTGTATTGACTCGTATTTTATATCATAAGTTCATTTTCCTGGTCACAGGAAGCATCCATCTGAAACCGGGATAACAGATGCTTGATTAATGATACATCTTGTAAATGTATTACAATCAGCACGATAATAGTGATAATCAGGAAGTCTCTAAAAAGTTTTCATAAAGTAGCTCATGGGAGGATGGTGGCCAGGACCTACTGTGCTGGGAGCCTGCAAGGCACCCATGGTGCTCAGTATCAAGTGCTGCTTGACTATGCTGAGATGCTGGCTTGGGAAGCAGGGCTATCCCACCCCACTTCTGATTTAAACGTGTCTGTCTCAAAGTGTTATCAGTGTCCCCTTCTCTGAGGACAGGGTACCCTGCCCCACTGTGTGACAAGGAAAAGAAAAAAAAAGAGCAAAGTAGGCCAGGAGTGAAACAGTGTCTTTCAGAACAGCAGAAGGTTAACTACTCCCAGGAGAGGTTGGCATTGCTTATCTCATAATAGAAAAATGCCTGCAGTGGGAAAGCAGAGCCCGAAGTTGAGTATAGGGAGCTCATCCATGCAGAGAAGGTTTAGTTGGGATCTTCAGTCCACTGCCTCAGTTTCCCTACTTGGTTTCTCCTGGCTGTCTTCAGCACTGACTTGAGAAACAGATGAGTTCACATATCTACTGTTGTTTTTCCTTTCATTTGGACATCATTCCCCAGGGGACAGACAACCTGCTCTGTGCAGGCCTCACTGAAACTCTAGCTGATGGACGTAATGGGTTTTGAGAACATGATTTGATGGGTTGTGATATCTGTCTGTCTGTCTTTCTGCTACTTGCTATGCATTCTTTTACTCTTACTTGTGGTGTACTTAATAAGCTCCTTCATTTAAAATCAAGCATATATCTATGGGAGATCATCCAGCAGACTGTACAGAAGAGTGTGTGAAAAATCAAGGCTATATGATTATGACTGTCAATTTAATTATATTAGGTCACCTAGGAGATCAGCAGACACCCCTGACTGTGTTCAGACATCTTTCAGGGTTTAACCCACTGGATTAAGATTGAAGAGAGGTGCCAGAGAGATTGTTCAGAGATGATACCTGCTGCTCTTGCAGAAGGCCTGAGGTTGATTCTCAGCACCCACATGATGGCACACAACCATCAGTTACTCTAGTTCCTGGGAATTTGTTGACCTCTTCTTGTCTCGGTGGTCACCTGCACACATGTGGTGCACAGACTCATACACATAAATAAAAATCAATTTGAAAGAATCAGAATAGATTATTTTGAGATGGTGGTGGTGGGGCATGCAGACTGGTTGGAGAATGTGGCTCACTGGGAGTATGTTTCTGAAGGGTACCTGTGTCACTGTCTTGTCCCTGACATTTCCCCAACCCCTCCCCATCCCTTGTTCTTCATGGAATAGAAGCTTCTAGCATGTGATTCTGCCATCTCGATGTTCTCAAAAATGGCAAGGGCTATGGAGTGAGCCAAAATAAACCTATTCCTTTTAATTCTGTCAGGTATTTGGTCAGAGTGGCACACAATGTATACAGACATTTGTCATGCTTTCACCACGACCAATGGGAGAGGGTTAGCCACTATCACCACACAAACATCAGGGAAAGAGGCTGCAGTGTCAGGCAGGGTTCATGCCATAGAGGAGACTGAGCTGAAAACAGGAAGCAAACACCAAGAAAGATGTTGCTGGAAGAGGCAGATATAAACCTAAGTATTACAACCGCTATGCCATCTCTCCTGTGCTACACTCAATTTTGACAATCGCATTTGATGAAATCATTAACAGTAAATAAAAAAAAAGTCATACTTTCTAACCACACTTAGAGAAGTTTACAAACTGCTCGTACTAATCTTATTCACCATAGCAAAAACATGGAAATAAACAGTGTAATGTTGGTGAGAGGCATATTATACAGCCCTGAAAATGGAATGCCTCAATGGAAGATGTGAATAACCTAGAATATTGTGAATAAATAGAAATTCCTAAATGTACATTTTCATGAATCTCAAAATCTGTAAAACCCATTCATAGATGTTCATCATTCAAACTGTAAAATCCATATCAATGAGAGATATAAAATTATGATTACATGCTGTTTCTGGTTAGAGTTGGGGAAACAAAGACACAAAAGGATGATAATTGAGTCCTCAGACAGAATGCTTTTCTCATTAGCATTCATTGTATCATGTTTTATGTGACACTGAGTGAAATATATAAAGTACATTTTGAAACTATATCAAAAGATAATGAAGAGGTATTTTTTCATGTACCAAGAAACTAAATTGGATTCCCTTAATTTTTAACATCTGCTCTGTTCTGTTCAATTTACAACATTTATAGTACTAATTGTCAGTTGAAAGAATTATCTTAACTCTGTAAGTCATTTCACAAGCCTGTAAAAAGAAAGACTACTTGAGGAAAAAGTATGAAAATAAAAGTAAGCTTAGGAAAAAAACCATTGTTCTTAGAAGTAACACACAATTTATCTCTTTCAAAGTTGGGCCTGATATTTTAATATAAGCTTAATTAAATTTATTAACTTACAGCAAGAAAATCTGGCCCCTCTGTATTATGAACGAAAAGAAGCAATCCATTTTGTTGTTCTGTTTGAAACTTCAGGGAGATCTCAAAGTCCTTCGCAGAGTGAAACGTATCTGAGCGAAGCTCCAGGAATCCTTTAAGACAAGAGTGTGTGTACACATCAGTATACGGCAGGCAGTATACAAGTGTGGCGAGCATCTGAGATAGGTATGACTTCTGTTTAAAAATCCCACAAAAGACAGATCGGTCTATGACATCCTTCCTCCTATCTATGGTGGTACAAGGTGAAAATCAAGAGGAAACACACATACACACACACACAAATACATGCATGCACACACTTGCATGGTGCTTATCCCCTCATGGAAGCTAAGACAAGCCCAGAATGCCACCTTTAATGGAAAAATAAACTATATCATTACAGTTTTGTTACTCCAAACAGTTTAAGCCACTTTATAACCAATCAACTTGGAGACAGAAGGCTGACTTGGATGTTTAATAAGGAAAAGTCTAAACCTGATAAGCCACATTGTTCCTTTCCGGGGCCATACAGTGGGGGTTGGGGCATACCCAAAGACTAGTGGGAAGGAAGATACTACCTCACAGTTTTCTTCAGCCTCTGCAGTGGTGGCAGGGATGGCCCCATTCACCAGTGGTCCCTCAGAGGCCTGCTTAACTCCCTGCTCAGCTTTGAAGACAGGCAGCCTTCAACTATCTATTTAGGGGAATAGAAATGTTGGGTCATTTTAGCAATAAAAATTCCCTTGAGCCCTTTTTTCACAGTAACCTGCATGCTGACATCTGTTATCTGATTGGAACAATGACACTTACAAACCAAGAACTCTGGGGCCCATCAGAGATGTCACTTGTAAGTATGTACCCTGAATTTTAACAGTTAAATTTTGTGTCCATACTTTGAAAATAATGTAGGGTTCAATGTACACTGTTCTGCAACATAAACTCATTAAAGTAAACTGGGTGGAGGTGGTCAGATGAGACCGTGAAGAGAGCATTTATGCACTACTATCTTGTGGCCTTTGGATGTCCTCAAACGGTTCAAAAGTAGGATCCAATGGGAGACCTTGAGGACCAATGAGGAGACATGAGAAGCAGAGTATGACCTCTCTTCTTCTCACTTGTGAGAAGTGGTTTCACAAGGTCACATGTTCCCACCAGGATGTGTTCCTCTCAGTGACATATCAGAAGCCACTGAAATCTGGAAAACTGAGAGCTGAAGTTAACCTTTCATCTTCTTAAGTCAAATTTCCTGGGTATTTTGTGATTGTGCAGAAAGACAGATTAACACAAGCCAGGTCACCAGCCACACCTTACCTGCTCCCAGGAACTGAACTCCTTCTTCTAGGTTGGTGGGGCACCCCTCCCAGCTGTGATATACATTGACCTGCTCTTCAGAGCTCTGCCAATCCAAAGGTAGCCACATCCCAGAGGGGCTGTAACTCTTTGTGATGGATACATCTTTGAGGCAGCCCACAAAGCCTCTTTGCATTATCTCTGCAAAAGTGAAAGGCATCAGGAAACACACATCATTCAATGGTGTAGACTTTATTGATCAGCAATCCATTTTACTTGACATTCAAACAGAAGACACCTATAAGCATTAGTACCCCAAGTTGCTGAAAATCACAAATCATGCAACCCCAGTAGCTACAGTGAATGGTTGCAATTTTATGTTTGGCTTTGGTTCATTCACAATGAATCTGCAGAAACAGATTTCTGAAAAAATAAATAACAAAATTTGATATTTTTCTGTTAGCAAGAATACTGCCTTTTGGATTAACACAGAAATTATTTTCATAAGCTTCCAAAATAAGTGCTAAGCACTTTCAAAAGTGAAGTTTAGGCTGGGAGAGGGTTCAGTTGATGACGTGCTGACAAGAACCTGGGGACCTGGTTTGGATCCCCAGCATCCACTTAAAAGGCCCAGAATCTCTTCTTCTCATCACTGTGTTGACAACCCCAATGCTCAGGGATAAGGGGGAGACATAGGAAGGTCCCTGAAGCTCACTGGACAGTCATCATAGACAAAGCCAAGAACTTCAGTCTTTATGAGAGATTCTATCTCACAAATAAAGGACAGAAAGTCATTGAAGACATCAGATGTAGACCTCTGACATCCATGGACACATGCACATATTCACAGATACATAAGCACCCACACACATGAACAATGAATACCTCCCACCCAAATGCACATATGAACACACACCCCCACACACAGATAACCACTTATCCCAGGGTTCCAGCCTTTCCATGACATCTGGAATGCTACATGGAAGCCATTTGAGAGGAACCCTTGTGGTGCCCCATGAGCCTTAGTAAGATATGGAAAAACCCTAATGTCATTAGTAAACATTTGCAGGTAATTGTTGTCAGGATCATGTAAATTTTTATTGTATTTATTTGTGTGTGTGTGTTTCTGTGTAAGCACATGCATGCTGTGGTGAACATGTGGAGATGAGAAGACAGTTTGCCAGGATTAGCTCTCTCCTTTTCATCATGTGTATCCCAGGGTTTGAACTCAGCTTGCCCAGCTAGACAATAAAAGTCTTTATGTACTGAGCCATCTTGCCAGCCCCCTTACATCTCTGGTGGTAACTTCTGTTAGTTTCAAGTTTCATTTTGGAGTATGTTTTTGGTTTTGTATGATGAAAGTAAGGAGTGTATGTGTATATGTTCTACGTGTGTGACTGTGTGAATGTGTGTGTATGTGTGAGTGTAACTTGACACAGGTGTCATCTGAACAGAGGAAATCTCAACTCAGAAAGTGCCTTCATAAGGTTGGCCCATAGGCAAGCCTGTGTGGTATTCTCTTGACTAATGGTTGATGTGGTCATGTCTAGTCCATTTAGGGTAGTGTCATCCCTGGACAGATTGTCCTGGAATGTAAATAAAGCCAATTGAGCAAGCTGTGAAGAACAAATAGGCAAGCAATGTTTCACCACGGCTTCTGCTTTATTTCTTACCCTGAGTTCCAGCCCTGACTTTTCTGTATGACAGTCTTCAATTGTATGCTGAAATAAACCCCTTCCTTCCCAAGTTGGTCTGGTCATTGTATTTTATTACAGCAAAAAACTTTAATTAAGATAGGATCTATTTTATTGATATCATTAAAACTTACTTTCCATTCATTTTATGTGTACTAGTGTTCTATCTATCTATCTATCTATCTATCTATCTATCATCTATCTATCTATCTATCATTTTCTATCATCTATCTATCTATCTACCATCTATCTATCTATTTGACATCTATCTATCATCTATCTATCTATCTATCTATCTATCTATCTATCTATCTATCTATCTTCTATCTTCTATCTGTCATCTATCTATCTATCTATCTATCTATCTATCTCTATATCTAGCTCTATATCTTTTTCTGAATCTTATATTTGCACATCAAGTGGTCACGGTGCCTGCAGATGCTAGAAGAGGATGCCAGATTATGAGCCACTGTGCTGAGAATAGAATCTAGGCCCTCTGAAAGAACAAACAATACTCTTATCTACTGAGCCATCTCTCCAGCCCCAATATCTTAATTATAGAATTTGGGGAATTGAGACAGGATCATCCATCTGTAATCTCTTTTGTGACTATCGTACAATACACTTAGAATGTTCCTTAGACTTCTGGGAGTCAAGTTTACCATTCCTGTGTTATTTCCATTGAATTAAAGTCTTAAAAAAATCTCTACACACATTCTAAAATTGAATCAATCTCAATTAATATAAGTCATTTTGGCAAAAGCTCAATAATACTTTTGAATTGCAAGAACTTGACATTGACTAGATAAGTAAAATTATTGAAGTTGCTCTGAGAAAGAAGAGGGCTAAAAATTAACACACACACACACACACACACACACACACACACACACACACATGCACACACACACACACACACACTAATACCACTTCATACTTTTAAGTACTGTAAATAGATTGTATTTAAAGTGCTGAGTACAACATTATGCTAGTTGGTATTAGTTGAAACTTGATACAATCTATAATCACCTGATTAGAGTCTTAATAAGTGAATATCTAGAGCTGACTGTCCTTGGGGAACATATGTAGAGGGACACCCTTGTTTAAGTCACTGATACTTGATGTGGGAAGACATAACCCACTGTGGGCAGCACCATTCCCTGGATTTGAGTTCTTGGCTATGGAGAAGGTAAGCTGAATGGTAAGGTAAGCAGGCATGGACTCATTGTCTCTCTGCTCTTGACTGTGGATATCACCAACTACTTTAAGTTACTGCCTGGCTTCCCTGTAGTGATGGACTATAACATAGAACTACAAGCTAAACACACCCTTTCTTTTTACAGTTGTGCTGCTGGGGCATTTTCACAGCAACAGAAGCAACACTAGGATGATGTATATTTCCACTTCCTGTGAAACTCACCAAGCCTTTTCTGAAGGATGGCATGACCTTGTGGCAGCCCACCCACAAACAGTCCTGTGTAGCCTCCTGTCATGGAGCTTCCATTCAGAGAAGTCGAGGAGCCTGTGGGAAAGGAGATGAGAATTACAGCTTCCTTGGGGGTTTCTTCAGAGTGAAACTCATCATAGACCCAGATCTCCTGCATCTGCTTTACCTCCTTTTCTACTAGGTCCCAGATAGGCAGCTGCTGTAAGCCTGAATCTCATCAGCAGATCCTCCATGTTTGCTACTGAACTGGCCTCTTGGTCAGACCCTAAAATGTAAGATAAAGTGTTCTGATATCCCTAGGGCCTGTTGCCCACCATTTCCTTCATCTGAACCTGGTGTCCACTGTTTTGTTTTGACACAAAACATACATTTCTTTCAAACATAGTCTCATGGTTCCTTTCTTGGTCCCCTCATTTCTATGCTCAAATGTTATAAGAAAGTCCTTACCCAAATGTCCTGAGTCAAATTTAGCACTCCTCCCAATGTACAGACCTTTTATGACAATAGCCCCATGCCAATCAGCTACGAATCTCTAGGGTCTTGGCTAGTGGTTATAAGAAATTGTTCCTAGAATTCTCCTCAGCATCCTTAGAGGGTAAATTAGGCTGTGTTTCCCATTGAGTTAATGTCTTATCAACACAGATAACAACTACCTGTCCTCCTTTTACATTCCCATAACTTGTTATGAATTTATACCTTTATTTATTATCTCCTGCCACCACCTCCTACCACACCACAGCTGCTAGGAAGCTCTGTTTACTCTTTGCTACCTGAGCACCTAGAACAATAGTGGAATATAGTGGGAGCTCATTAAAATCAGCTATAGCCTAATTGAATCCATGAAAACCTGTATCATTGGACGAAAATGGAAGACAGAGCCAGTTGGGAAGAAAACTATAGTCAGATGCCAACACCGGGTATGTGGGCAGAGTCCTGCCTACCCACTGCAGAAACTGAAGAGGAGTTAGTTACATTTCTGAGCTTTGCTTTTTTTACATCTTTGTGTATAGATCTCACTTTCCTTGCTTGCCTTCTGGAGGCAAAAGGGAACATCGATCAAGCAGTCAAGAGCCCCTGAATGGTGTGAAGAATGCACAAAATACAGAACGTCTGATGGCGACTTCATTTCCATCTTTGCTTTTCTAGAATTCTAGAGTCCTACCTGGACAAGGAGCCGATGGCCACAATTTACCAGTGGGAAAGCCAAGACCAACTAAGAGACAGATCTCACAGGGACTAGTGTGACACTGAATGAAGAAATCAATGTGAAATTCATACATACAGAGATGTGCACGCACACACACACACACGCACACACACATACACACACATGAACACACACACGCAAGCATGCACACACATGCATGAACAGCTCTTACCTGTGTACTGCCCATCAAGAGTGATCTGGCCAAAAGCCTGATGTCTAATCGCTATGATTTCATGCCAATGTCCGTCACTGTATCTTTGATTATGATCATCAGTTGTGGTAACCTCCACTAGTGATCCCTTAAAGGAATTAATGAATGAATGAATGAGTGTTCACCTTCAGATGTCACTGACACCACATATATATATATATATGTTTTAAACCAGTTCTCAGATCTCAGCATTATGATCCCAACACAAAGCAGACACTCCCAGATACTTGACATACAAGTTGGCATCTACTAATCACCCATGACTGTGCTGTGGTGTATGTCTAAAAACCATGGTGACCAAATATGACCAGAAGGTTCCAGACTAGACTCTCTATGTTGGGTACCTATATCCATTATTTTATTGTCCATGGAAAATTGTAAAGAGGAAGAGAATAATTTAAAACTGAGGAAAGTTGTGAAAGTTTATTCCGAGGATAAAGAAGCATCAGGAAAATTCACTGCTCTTCATGAAAAATTTTATAATGTGCACTGAAAGAGGGGATGGGCGTATTAAAGTGAGTATTTATCGAACTTAGGTGTGGAGTTAAGGTTGGTATTCAATGCTTTGTAGTCTAAAATCTCTAACATTTATAGCTCTAGTACGGTCATAAAAACACAGTGAAAAATGAGTTCTTGAGTATGATGACTGTGAATGGAAGAAACCAAGAGGAAAAATTAACAAAGTAGGCAAGGGTGAGGAAGCAGAGAAGAGAGAGACCAGACTAGCACAGGAAAGCCATATGCAAACAAGAGTCCATGTAAGAAATTCTATCCCAGTCAGCCAACATTTACTATCATGACTAAGAAAACAGGTCCCTCCAAACCTAAGGAAGATAAATTTAATTTTGAGGTTGATTTACCCAGGAAAACTCAAATGCAAAGTTGTTGCAAGTTCTTAGATACTACAAGCAAGATTGGTTTAAATAGCACATATTTTTTAGAAGTAATCTTGAAACGGGACTGAAGAGTTCGGGTTAAGAGCTTAACCAGCTGCTCTTGCAGAAGACCTGGGTTTGATTTTCAGCATGCACATAGCACTTGGCAACCATCTGTAACTCCAGTTCTATGGGATTCTGCACCCTCTTCCGGCCTCTTCAGTTACTGCACACACACTGTATACAGAATCATGCAGGCAAACACTGATACTTATAAAATACAAATAATATTTTAAATTACCTAGAATGTTCCATCAAATGCTAACAATTTTAGTCAATTGTTTCTCCTAAGAGAAAAAGCTAGTAATTCTCTCATGTGATAGGTTTACATGGCCGGGGACAAGGCATTTTCCTAAAGATAAGCTATGCCCATTCTGTACATTTAATTATCCCTTACTAAGCTTCATAGTATACTTGGCAACACACATGATATACAGAAACATGTTACTAATATTAAAACAAAACAAAAACAACAACAACAAAACCAACTGAAAGAAGCTTTCAGTTTCCCACCAGTACAAGCAGTTCCTTCTTACATGGGCAATAACCCAACTTATGTAGGCAACCTGAACAGCCAGGCACATGACCATTGCCAAAGTTATCTCTAATCCTAGACTCTTTTGCTTTCTCAGGTTTTTTCCTACCTATTCTTTTATTTTCTTCAACTCTATTTCAACATTTTAATATTTTACAAACACACATTTCATTATCGTAGTTTAATAATTAAAACCAGAACTGGTGTCGTGCCCAATTAATGTGCCCTGGTACTATGCCCATTAGTTTTTCCATTAGTGAATTCAACAATACTAATGGGATTACTAGCATGGGATGCTAATTGGGTGTGACATAAGAAACTGGCTTACTTCTGAGCATACCCTTGCTAATGATGAAATTAATGAGCATTTTATTAAACGCTGTCTCATCAAAGTGTACTTAGTTAGCGTTAAAATTGTTACAAACGGTTCTGCATTTTAAAGATCAGGTGTCTGAGGCAGAGGCTCTGCACATTTTGTTTGGCAATAATCTGAAGCAAGGGAGAGTTCTCGGCATCAGAAATCATATTGATTAGTTGCAGATCCACTGAGGCATCCTGCAGCAGAAAGTGTCAAACTTGCTTCAAGTCTTAGAGGAACTTTGCATAGCTTTCATTCATGAGGATGCCAATATCGCCATAATAATAATTCTACAGTTGGATCTGGTGTTGCACATGGAAAACGTCGGGCATAGCAATTACAGTCTGGTCAGAGTCATTTTTAAAGTTTCATTTTCAAGGGTTCCTTGTCTGTGAAGATATAATGTTCTGTGTATTTCCTGTGAACGCCACTGAGTGCAGAATGCCTAAGGAACAAATTAGGTTAAAGTTGGGCAGTGAAATATCACCTCATCAAAAGTCTCTGCTTTGAGATAGACAAAGGACTGGAACACTGTAATTTTTGGAGACTCAGTGAAACTCTAGAAATTAAGGTTGCAATTCATTTCTCATTTTGGTCTCTTTTTAAGCTTTATTTTTATTATTTAAAGTGTGCGTGTGCGTGTGCATGTGTGTGTGTGATCAAAGCTGTCTGCAGAGGCCATGTCTCTCTTTGGAACTGGAGTTTACAGGTGATCATGAGTTACCAGATGCTGGTGCTGGTGACAGAACTTGGGTCCTCTGAAAGCCAGCGTGTGTTCTTAACTGGTGAATCCTCTCTCCCATCCCTCGCTTTTATCTCTTAACAATTATTCCCAGCACTCAGTTCCTGAGATACACATTTCCAGTTTTAACTCTCGCTAAGAATCTCTTTTCTTCTCCCTACATATTTACTCAATGGGACATTCTGGATACACAGAAGGGAAGCCGGGTGAGTTTTAGATGGATGGCTTCCCTCTGGGGAGGATTTACAGCTATTCAAGCAATTCAGCTTTCGGGGTTATTAAAACATTTTAAAACTTGAAACATTTGAGAGAATATGAAGTTATTTTTGAAGTCATGTTGTAGTCAGTGACCTTAAAATTCCTGGAAAATGTCCTTTTCCAAACTCAAAATTAACTTTCTGTGAATGGATTCAGGAAGAATCAGTTAAAAGTCGCCATCAAAGCCTATTATGGGACAAGTTAACACATTTAGTTAACAAAGTAAAATCACTAAGTACTAACATGTCACCGCAGGATCATCAAAAGTCAGAAATTTCATCTCAGAAAACGGATGATCTGATTTAACTATGGTACAGTTTTAGTCACAGTGATCTAACATTTAAGCAGATAACCTGTCAGAGGGGTTTCACCTGCATCTACATTTTCTAAGGATTGGGCTGGGGATAAGAACAACACATTAAGCATATAATTACCATTGTGGTGGGAACAATACAGAGTTCACTGGGCAACCTTGTCTTAATTTACAGAGAAAAGGAAAATAATGACTTAAGGTGATGCTTAAGGTACTTAAATTATAATGTCAATATCAGGTGCATAAAACAAATGCATGTACTTCTTTAAATGTGAGTTATCTCTCACTTCACATACGAAATCTATCTTCAGTTTCTTATCCCAAAGTAAGAACAAACAAGTGGAGACTGCTCAGGTTTTTCTCTATTTGGCAGTTTCAATACTTGTCTAAAAATAAGCATGGTCTTCATTATGCAGTTGGCAAGACATGTCCAGTTAACCTGCATTAGCTCTGAATTCCTTAGAGGTGGGTGAGGGTACAGCCCCTGGTGGCTGCTGCTCACTGTCTTCATGGATTGCCTCCTGGCCCTGGAGCATTTAGTATAATATATCTGATTATATCCTCTCAAATACACCCGAGGCAAGCCCGCTCAACCAATTCCTTACCTTTTCAAAAGTAAGTGAATTGTCAGTGTGCTGAAAACAGACAGCTTTTGCCTTGTGTGGACCGGTTATTATTCTAGACAGAAATGTGCTTACGCAGGATTGCTGAGCCCTCCTTTCTCCACCCGGCATCCTACTTTTACTAGCATGGTTTTCTTATTTGACCAGTGTCTTCCAACTCAGTAGACACTTTAGGATGAAGCTGTATTGGGCAGGGGTGGAAGGGCTGGGAAGGTACTAGCAGGGACAGCTGGGATAAGAGAAGGTCAAGACAGCAGAAGGTATGAGAAGTGTTCTCTGCCACAATGACTTGAACCAGTCTATCTTATGGGATTTCAGAGAGCTTCCTGGTAGCACTGTCAGGATCCTAACAGTCATGTGGCTGAGTGAGGGGTGGCATTGTTTGGTCCCTTCATCCCCTGCAGTCTTCAAGGACTCCAGAGTTTTGAAAGAGAACAGGACTCACATCTTAAGAGATGGGGTGTTAACATTCAGATCTGGAGTCATACAGTTTTCATTCTCCAAATTCTTTGTCTCAGATGTTTTATGATGTAGGTGTGTCTGTGCATGCATTTACTATAAAGCTCTTAGTCTGAGAAGACTGTTTGTAGTTCCTGAGACTGTGAGTTGTCACTTCTTCATGTGTGTGTCACAGAGCCTAATCCCAGAGTCTGATTCAAGTTCTCTTTTTTTCTAAATTGTGTGTGTATGTGCATATGCTTCTGTAAGTATGTGTGTGTGCATACATGTGCTTGTGTGAGTGTACACACATGTGTGTGCAGGTGCATGTGTGGACACCATAGGTCAAAGTACAGTATCTTCCTCCTCAATTACCCCCCCCCATCTTCTGTTTTGAGACAGGGTCTCTCACTGAAGCTGGAGTGAAGAGATTTTGCTAGGCTGGCTGGCCAGTGCACTTCTCGGAGCCACCTGCTTCCCCAATGGCTCCCATCACACTAGCTTTTTATGTGTACACTGGGGATCCAAGCTCAGGCCCTGATTTTGCACAGCAAGTTCTTTAACTCACTGAACTATCCTCTGCCCTGTACATTCTTAACCAAGTTGTACAGGAAAACAAACAAAACTGCAGTCAACACTGCTTCTGTCCAGTGTTCTAAAACAGTTGGTTTAACTTAGGATGACAATAGCATTTGACTGAAGTGGTGGCTTTGAGGATGAACTGCTATCCCTAAAGAGAGCCTCTCTGCCCTCTGGGGTAAGTGTTGAAGTGGCCAAGCTTTGTTCTATCTGGCTTCTCGGATAACCCCAGACAAGAAAGTGCGAGTCAGAGCAGGCTTCCACTCCCTGCTGGATTCTTCTTCCTGCTTCTGCTACTCATTTTTAACTGCTTTCCTCTGATTTCTGTGGATTTTTACAATTTAGTGTTTGGTTTCTTCATCAGGCATTTTTAATCTGTGTATTTTCTGAAAACTTTTAATTAATGATCATTTTTTAATCTTATGAAAAATTGGCATCAGGATGATGGAGTTCCCAACCACCTCCTATGCTAAGCAGGGACATTAAAAATCTTACTATTCAGTCTTCTAGTCCCCAGCAGCTAAGTTTATTTGCTGATTTTTTTTTCTTTTTGTTTCGCTATGGGCTTTATTTCCTCCCTGCTTTAATGCTCTTCCACATCCAAGATGGCCTCTGCCTGTAAAAGCCATCCCTGCTTAAGCCCTTACTGACCACGTGGGGTTAAGATATTGTGGTGAGGTTTATTATTTATCCTGGCTTCTCTTTGGGGTATTTCAGATGCTTCTCACCTTCAGTTCATATGCTTTACTGACAGTCTTCTTCCATACAGTAACGAGGCCATCATTTGTCCTAAGTTTCCGCATATTCAGAAGCATCCTTGTTTGCTGATGAAAAGAAGCACTGGAGGAATGTTAAACCATCCTGGAGACAGATTGATGCTTATGTCATCTTTTCTTTTGAGAGTCAGAGTCTCATAAAACCTTTGCTGATTTTGAACTCTCAGCAGTTCTCCTGCCTCAGTCTCACCCCAAGTTACAGGAGTGTCTCTCTGGCTTTAGACCTAGGCTACATGGTTTTAAAATCTGCCACTTAGTAAGTAAGCGACATTGGGGAAAGTACACTTGTGGCTCAGAGTGCTCACCTGGGAAATGGGCTGTAAGGGCGCTTACCTCATCGATATATTCGTGAGAGGGTTCAGACATGCAGAACTCTGGGTAGAGAAAATGTGTGCCTGGCATAGGCATCACCTGCTGAATCCTGACTAGTATCTGCTCGAGTCTTTTAAATAAATTTATAAAAGGCTCTTTATCAACACAGACATTTTAAATGTTATATTACTTTTATCTTATTCCTTTTCTTCTTGTTCTGGAACTTTCTCCAACTTTATGTTTTACCAATGTAAGCTTCAAAAATATCTCTTCTCTAATTAATCTCCTTAAAGTGTTCGAAGGGGGGAAAAACATGTTTTCAGCTCTGTAATTGAACCAACTTTAGTGTACTGATTTCTGTCTACAGCAACCATCTGCCCTGCCTCCCCGGCAGCTGCAGCTTCTGTCTCTCTAGCTTTGGGGTCGCTGGTGATGCTATTCGTCTGCTTAGTCTCTATCGGCATCCAGTAAGAAGCTGCAGTTTTAGCAGAGGTGGGGCATCCAGTGCTCCTCGTCACAAAGGTCATCTCATTTCCAAGCTCAAGGCCGATCAGGCCACTTGGAAGACAGCGTGAAGCAACCTTTACTGGCATATCTTCTGTTCTCAGCTTCACTAAGCCGGGAAGTCCCACCTGCATGTTGAGTTTGGCATGATCCTCAGACATACTTGATCCAAAAGGTGCAGGCTAACCCTCACCTTGGTCACTGGGTGTCCAAGCCTGGGTTCTTCCCACAAGGTCATGCGGTGTCTACGCCCTGGTTCTTCCTGAAAAGTCATAGGGTGTCTGAGCTCCAGTTCTCCATGGAAGTTCATTGAGTGCTCATGCTTCCGTTCTCCTCGCCACTCCCGTCACCAGGTTTCCAGGTTGCAAGATTCTGAGGTCTTTCCCCACAGCTCTTAGTCCAGGATCCTAAGTATACCTTGGGCACAGTGTGGTGAAGCCTCACTGGTTTTGATAATATCAAATAAAATATTTAGAAGTATTGTTGATGACTCCAGTCACAGGTTTTAGAGGGAAGATGTAAGTGAATGGAGAGCAAATAGTCTTCTTCCTCGCTAAGTCACTCCTAGGCTAGAGAGGCTGCCTAACGTCTAATGGCCACTAGAACTTCCTGAGGAGACTAACCACTCTGACCAAAGCTTCTATTTTATGCTCATGTGATCGCAAACAGCTCTTTCTAAATATTCACAGAATATTTTAACTTAATCATTTCATTACATACTTTCTACATGGTTTCCCAGGGCTATGGCCGTACTCAACCTTAAAACTGTCCACATCTGAAACATGAAGTTAAACAGTACTTAAAATACCACTTACATACTTGCTAGTTAAGTAGTTAACTACTTAAGTCAAATAGTGAAGGGTGGAAGAAAGGGAAGAACACAGGCCTGAGAGAAAACAAAGTCATCATTTATTCTCCAAAGAAAAAGAAAATCCGTTCAGATTTATTTTAAATAATTTGTTGATTTATTTTTTTGTGTGTGTCAAGGTCTCACTCTGTAGCCCAGGCTGGCTTGGAATTCACTACACACCAAGGCTGGCTTCCCACTCACACTATTTCTTGACCCTCAGCCTCTTGAAGGACAGGATCCCAGGCACACACCACTGCATTTATACATTTGGAGCCATCATAACGTAGCATACTAATTTAAGCACATAGCTTCCTAGAATAGACGCGGTTGGGAGATAGCTCTGCTGTGTGGACTGCGGGCAGCCATTTCCCTTTTTGCAATTTTCATTTTCCTCATTGGGAGGATGCAGCTCTGCGGTGCCCAACCTGTGGGTTGTGACCACTTGAGGTCACATATCAGATAGTTACATTCTGATTCATAACAGTGGCAAAATTACAATTGGGAAGCAGCAACGAAATAATTTTATGGTCGGGGTCACCACAGCATCAAGAGCTGCAGTAAAGGGTCACAGCATGAAGAAAGTTGAGATACTCTGCTGTAGAATGCCTTCTGGAAACTCTGGGAGTCTCAGATGAGGATTTTCTATGAGCATTTGTGTGCTTACCTTAGTACCTGGCAATCACCTGACATTCTCAACAATGCCAACAATCATGGCTAGTCATTTACCTGGGGATTGTAAAGAAAGTAGGGACGGCCATTCTTCAACTGAAGGGCGAAATACTCTTCCTGGTTGTGAGGGGACAGTGCCAGGAGGATCAGCCCTTCAGGCACCCTTGTCCGGAAACTGGCCTTGATGCCTGGAGATGCAAATGTCACCATTTAGTCAGGGCTGTCATTTTGTTGACTCTTTCCAATAAATGTACATTTACTTTCATTATTATTTATGATGTAGTGAATACAGTCAGGAAATTACATACAGCAATGTGTTGGGATGGCCCTAGTCAATGGGTTTAAATATATCCCCGTTAAAGGCTAAGTAGAACTTGGAAGTTATGTTACCTGTTATGTTTAATCCTGTTAATCAATATAAAATGAAGTTTAAATGTGTCCGAAAATTGTCCACCTGAAAAGTCACTCTGTCAACCCCCAAACTGAACACCTAATTGTACCAGTTTGAAAATATTACCAGAGGGTCCTAAAATTATGAGTTATTGACATAAATGAAAGAAATCCAAAGGACATTATTTAAATGCTATGAGAATGGAAGAATAGATTTAACAATAGATGTCAACACAAAAGGCTACGGATGGACTGGCCTGTGGGAGCTAAGTGACTGCGTTAGCTAATGGTGAGGGCCTTCAGACTCTCCAGACCACACGCCCACCAGACAGTTCTCTTTTCTCAGAAGCTGATATGCAATATTCCTGTCACATGCACTGCTAGGACCCAGCTCCAGTCTTAGGAGGCCACCTACACAGCACACATGTGGAGACCTTCCTGTGCAGAGGGTGTTTCACTTAAGGTGTTGGAACTAGCGGTGACATCTAACTGTCACAGTCGGCTCCGGTACATCCCATTAAAAATATAAAATTAGCAGAGGAAGAATAAAGAGATCAACAGCATACCTGAAAATCGAACAGAAACTAAAACACAATAATAAATAATGAATGAATTCTGATTTGAGCAGTAATACACAATAGACCAGGGTTATAAACACTTGAAAAATCTCCCTTTAGGCTGGGCTAATAACCGAAGGATCTACATGGTGTGGGGTTAGTTTCATTCTGTTGCTATGACCAACACTGAACACCATGGCCAAAAGTGATTTAGAGGTGGGCATTTGTTTGAATTTACAAGTTTTAATCCATCACTGAGGGGAGTCAAGGTAGGAACTAGAGCAAGAGCAGTGGCTTAGAGCAGAAATAATGAAGGATCTCACTGCTTGCAGGCTTACCCTAGGCTCTTTAGTGATTAGCGTTCTTATATAGCCAAGGATCACCTACCTGCCCAGGGAATGGTGCCATCCACAGTGAGCAGGGTCCTCTGACATATATTAACCCTCAAAGTAATCTTGTCTACCATCTCTAGACACTGGCCAGTCTGATCTGGCAAATCCATGAATTGAGACACACTTCTCAGATGACTCTACATACTCTAGGCTGTGTCAAGCTGACAGGGACTGAGCTTTGCTTCAACCATCACGTTTGGTCCACCGTCCTATTCTACTCTTTAAAATAGTGCACAGGTGTATATCATAACTATATTGAGTTTTTAGGTGAGGAGAAAGGAGATGAGAGGCTCAGCCTGACCAGCAGTTTTTGATTTTCTCTTTCCTCTCAAATGCTATGGGCAAAAATTTCAAGCTAAATAGCTCAAGGGCCTTGAATAAAAATAGCTGTGATTCAAGAAAGGAAGGCTGTACTGACTCTTTCCTAATGGGCAGAATGGCAACTCTGCACCAGGAGACAACAGAACCCAGGGTGTGAGGGAGGGAAGAGAAACAGTCACTCAATCTCAGGACACTATTGTTGACTGAAACTTGAGAAATTTGATGAAAGAAAAAATACCCAAGGATTATGGGAATATTTGAACAGTTAAGATGCATTTCGGGGATATTTTAATTATTATATGATATTCATTGAGTGTATAAATGCACGTTTTCCCCAAAACAATAAATGTGAAAGCCTTCTAAGACAAAGAAATGAGTTTTAGACTAACAAGTATGTAAGTCTGTATAGGGAGGTAAGATTTTCACATGAAGGGAAGATGTAACGCAAGGAAGGCATCTTGATGTGACATCATCAGCCACATTTCTCTCAATTGTGACATCTTTTTTTCTCCATGTTACCAAGATAAACAGTAAAAGATTTTCTTTCTCCTAGACTTTAGGCAGAAACTGAAAACTTACAATTCTACTGGAGCATGTTCTTCATAGTTAGATTACTCTGACTCTGAAGATAGACAAATCCTAGCATTTGAACCAAATGCTTACGTTGTGTAATCAATTATTTAAATGAGCTAAACTCACAAATAAATATATGTAAATATAAACATAATAACAGTTTGATGGATGTGTGAAATAAAGAAAACATTATTGAATTTACAATGAGATAGAATGGTTAAATGCACAATTATTCAGGATAATTAACACTCTTTTTTCCCCAGTAGAAGTCACTTATTTACAAATTCCCAAGTGCTGACTTAGGCTCAGCCATGTGACTTTCATTGGCCAAAGGAATGAATGCAGATATGAAATCCCTGGTGAGGGCAGAGCGTTTGATTACAACTGTGTTGCAGAGCATCCTCTCTCCTCCCTGCCCACTGCCTCACAAATGTGTTTCTACCTCTGGTCCAAGAGGAAGAAAACCTGTGGATCACCACCAAACAAGCATTCCAACAGCTAAGACAACTAAGTGTGTGAAGCTACCGTACTGATTCAAACAAGCAGTAGAGTGAAGAGCAGCCTTCCACTTTATAAAATGGAGATCTGCACTGTCTCAAGGCAAGAAATGAGCTAAATTTCAATATCAGTATCTAGAGAAGAAAATGAGAGGGCACTTGTGTTGTCTCTGAATTTACACATTCATTTGGGAAATACATTTAAAGAACCAAATTTCAGTAGCCACTGCTCTAGGCTAGTGGGACAAGTGTCAGTAAATATGCCCAGCCGTTATGTATACACAGATATATTTGATTGGATATATAATATATTGATGCATTTATTATCAATATTATATATATCTATATTACAACAAGCAAGAAAATATATGAAATAAAATGCAGTATTTATTATAAAAGTATACAAATGTCAAATTCATAAACAAGTAAGTGGAGTGCAAATTCTAGCTGTAATGAGGGCTAACAGTTCACTTATCTGCGGATATAAGGACAGGTGTTTAGAACGCAGTTGAGAATTACATTGCTAAAGGAATGTGACAACAGTGGGTTCTCCTCAAGGGTCCATGACCTCACCAACCACAAGTATCAGCTAACACTGTTGTGCAAAGCACAGTCAGCATAAAGGAGAGAATAGTACAAGGCCCAATTTGTACAAATCCAAAGTCAGGCAAAGTGCGATCTATGATTTGAGAAGTTGGGAACTGATTCTGAGATTTGTGCAGGACCTGAGCCTGAGCTTCTGGAGGCCAAGCACGCATCTTTCTTGAGTACTGAATGTCGAGGGCTGTTGTGCAGAAACAATCTATACCATGCTCATTTCCCACTTTTCTATATACTACAATAGAAAATCCAACCAACGCCAAATGCTGAATCGTTTTGTAAGTTTAAATCCTACAGTAGCTGCAGAAAAGGAAAGTTTCACATTCACACGCACATTTTGGTTTGAATGTGTGTTGTTCCCATACTCTCAAATGGATTATTTCAGAACATGATGATTCAGTGTCGCTTTTGTCTCATTTTTATATTATCAGTGATGACTAAAAGATTCAAATATATTAGCCATTCATATGGAGTTTTTAAAAAAATTGTATATAAATTTCTTTGCCCAGTTTCAAAATCTCTCTATGGGTAGTTCTGCGTACTATGTAAGAGCCTGTTACATGTGTGTGTTATCACGTGCTGCAAAGTACTCTCCCCTTTGTCCTCTCTCCCAGCTGGTTTTTGTTTTTTTATACCTCCATCATTCACATACACACACATTCACACTAACACAGCACATTCATACATTCACACACACACACACACACACACACACACACACACACATATATATATGCTGTGTGTATTTACGCACTGTGTGAGTATGAATATGGTATGTGAGCAGGAATCATTTTGTGTATATATAATTGCTAGAGTGATCCCACCAAAAGATAATTCCAGACCTACCCCTGCCTTCTCCTGCTGGCCCAGGCTCCTTGCCTTACTCTCTAAGTGACGTTGTGTACACTTCCTGTTAAATATCCTCTCTTTCTCCAGTCTGTCTGGCTCATGGAATTGTAATTGCTGTTTTCTCAGAGACATGCAGTCTACCATCTCACACTTCACTCTGTTTTTTCATACCCCGTGTTCCCCCTGCCTGCTCTAACCACTATGATTCCTGCTCTTTGCCTTCCTGACTGCTCTGACCACTGTAATCCTGGTCTTCTGGCTTCCCCTTCTCCATCTCTGGACTTTGTCAGTCATTACTCCCCTTCCACATTGTCACCCCTTAAAAGATAACCACCAGTTCATTTCTTAGTTCTCAACAAAAGACTTCTCAAATTGATTCTCTTCTTTGTCGTATTTCACAGTTTTACCACCACTGCCAGCCTCAGCAGTTTGAACATTCATAGAAATCCAGGCTTGGTATTTCCAGGAGAGGCCAGTGAGGATCGGTGGGTTAGATAATAGAATCTTATTCTGCTCTTAAGTTTGCACTTCTAGATTGAATGCTGAATTTGAGTTTCTCTCATACAATGGGTCCTCAATGGGATAAAGCTTCATATTTTGAGATATACAGTATTTTAGTCAGTGTTCTATTTCTGTGAAGAGAAACCATGACCACAGCAACTCTTATAAAGGAAGACATTTAATTACAAATGACTTACAGTTTCACAGGTTTAGTTCGATATTGTCATGGGAGGGAGCATGGAGGCATGTAGTCAGACAGGGTAACTAAGAGTTCTACACTGGGATCCAATGCAGTAGAAAGAGAGAAAGAGTCACAGGGCCTATCTTGAGTTTCTGGAACCTCAAAGCCTGCCCCCAGTGACACATTTCCTCCAATCACAGTCACACCTCCTAATCTTCCTAGGTAGTGCCACTTCCTGATGACTAAGCATTCAAATATAGGCACTTATGGGGCCACTTCAAAGAGGTTTTTGTTTTTATTTTTGATTTTTAAGTATTCTTTCTATAC